TGCGTCACATCCAGCCAAAAACAGATCCGAGACACGAGTGTTTCTACGTCATATTAACACAGGTTGGATAAGAAATGCACGCCTCCACTCCACACAGATAAGAGGCCGGAAGTACTAGGGCTTAGCAGGCTAAGCGTCAGCTAAACTGACTACCCTTTCCCATCCAGGGAGGGCTGGGACCTGCGCGAAGCGCTTGGCTGTACAGCCAATTATGGATGTCCGTATGGTGGGCCAGAATGTGCTTCGTAGGGCATTGTATTTTGGAAACGACCCAAACAGTAGTCCCCTCTCACATCACGTCGCTAATTTAAATGGCTTGAACCACACCACCAATTAACACCGGATCTTAGCTCCGCTGAGAATAAGCCTGAAATTGACAGGTTGGTTCACTTTAGCTAGAGAAATACATAGTAACACTATAACGCATTTTCATGCACCTTAGCCACCACGAAAGGTAACAAAGGGGATTAAAAGAAATTAACGCATTGCGCATAAAACGGAGGTGTTTCAACAAATAATCTGAATTCGGCTAGCATCGCTACCTTTAATGCTAACACAACAGCCACCCTTACTAGTATTTATATGTGGCAGCAGGGGCTAGCTAAGCATCCCAGCTATGTCAAATGAAGGTTACTCCTCTTAATTTACGGCTAAACACGCTATCAAAATCTCAGACTATATAACCGATTTATAACCCACATGCTTTCTGCTGCTACTGTCACACTTGACAAGGCCTAGAAATAACAAAAAACGCAGGGATTTACCATGAAATGTGTTTTCTCTTCGGCTTTACTGCAGCGGCTAGCCCTGCTTTGCACCTGCAGTAGCTCTTACGCTTCTTGATTGGCTGCCTCCGGCATAAGCAGTTGCTAAGTGTAAGAATGATTGGCATGAGACTTGACCAATCAGAGAAGAGAAAAGACTTCAACATTGCCAGAGTGACCATACAGCGCTGCATGCGTTTTCTTTCTCAAATTGGCCAAAAGAGAGGACAGGCTCTAATAAAACAAACTCGGAGACTTTGAGAGTTACATGAGAGTTAACATACATGCATAAACCATCCTGTAGCTTGATAAAGGTAAGTAAAACTCTAAGTACCACTGGGTATTCTGTGTCTCGAACTGATTAAAGTTTCGTGCAGTACTTAGGATAAAATACAGAAATAAATATTATTCTTACCACTCCTTGATGTATAGCATTGTGCTTCTTAAATTTTTTTATTACTAAATTTTAATTGCAATGTATAATACATATTTTTGCACTAATCTCCAAAACTCAGCATTCAGTTGAATACATTCAAATAAAATTTATTCAATTTAGCTTTATTTACATGACACCAAATCACAACAATAGTTATCTCGCGGCGCTTTATATTGTAATGCAACAAACCTACAATAAAAGAGAGAAAACCACAACAACCAAACGACCCCCATGACCAAGCACTTGGTGACAGTGGGAATGAAAAACTTCCTTTTAACAGGAAGAAACCTTGAGCAGGACCAGGCTCAGTGAGGGGAAGAGAGTGAAGGGAGACAGAACAAAAGACAGGTTGTGAAAGAAAGCTACAGATGAATAATAATTAATGATGCCAGGTGGTAGGGACTATCCAGGGTCACCTGATCCACACCCTAACCATAAACTTTATCATAAAGGAAAGTTTGAAGCCTTATCTTAAAAGTCGAGAGGGTGTCTGTGAATCACCTAAATACATTACAAACTGGGAGCTGTTTCCACAGAAGAGGTACCTGAAATTGAAAGGTTTTGCCTCTCAAACTACTTTTAAATATATTAAGAAGTAAGCCAGCAGTCCAAAAGTGAAGTGCTCTGTCAGGGTGATATGATACTATAAGGTCTTTAAGATAAGATGTCTTTAAATACAACCATTTATCATCTTAATCTGTTATCCACTTAAGGTGACACGAGGCTGGAGCTTTCACAGAGCGAGATCCACCCTTTGGAAATTAGAACTGAAAATAAAATTAGCATTGAACAATGTTTGTCTGCAGTGTCACGTAGAAATGCATTCTCTTTGGAGCTACTTTTAAAAAAGCAGTAATCAATACTCATTTCCTTTAAGTGATAAATGCATTTTTATGACTTGCTTTTCTCGTAAAAGGAGAAAACGGGACATCACAAAGTGAAGAGCTTTTCCTTTATTGGCAAGGCATACAGTTCTAGTTGGACAGAGGGCTAACGCAGCCACAGTTAAACAGCAGAGTTGGATTGTCAAAGCTGCAGAGTTTCAGTTTATGACACACATTCATAAAAATCTCCACGCACAGAAATACTGGTCTTGGTTGGCTGTTGAGACTGTTCGAGAACGTGACATCTTCACTAAGAGTCAAAGAGCTTTCAGATGAGCGCACGTACTCCAAGATCCTTTATGAACACGTGATGCGAACAGATCAGTGATGACAGAGGAAGACAGGCGATAGGACGTGATCCAGAAAACCCAGACGGAAATCTGTCACTCAGCAATTTTTACACCAAGAGAAAAGTGAAAGTGAGTATTTGCTCATGTATAATGTTATATTAGAAGTGAAAAGGAAAAGTTTCTCACACATGAAGCTACATGTGAGTATTAAAACCTTAGACTAAAAAAAAAGCTACTTCTCTGTCACATCGTTGCTGACAGGTAATACAGAAGCAATAAATAAACTGTACACAAAGTACTGTGAGGAAAAAGAACACAATGAATTAGTGACACACAGAGAGACACACACTGACTCTTTGCATGTTGTGCTGGTTATAATGTTGTTAAATAGTCCTTTGGTGTTGAAGGCATCTTTGAGAGTTGAGTCGTCGGCTACAGAAAGGATTGCACATGTTTTACTCCAGCATGTCAGTGACCAGAAAAAAATCCCAAGTTAAAAATATAAGGCTTCAAAAAAACCAAAAGAAAGGAAGAAAGAAAGCTCAGTCACACATTTAAAACATAAGTTACACTGTTTCATGGTAATAAAAAGTTTCTCGACAGGATGAGCTTGGTAAGTTCTCTGCATTACTTTCATAGTGTTTGAATCCGGCACCTAATGTCACGCATCTCAACAAAACACTTCTTTTGCACAGTCAATTAGTTCATTATAAAAAGGACCAAAGAAAAGACAAGACAAGACAAGGAACTTCAGCCCTTCTGAGCGTCAATAGTCCAGCTCATCCAATTCAATTAAACTACCAGGCCGTCCGTCAACAGAAAAGTGCAGAAGTGTGAGAGAACCGTACAAAGTGCTTTGAGTTTTTTTCTTCTTTTTAGCAAATACTTCAAAAAGAAAAAGAAAGAAAAGAAAAAGAAAAACATGAGAAAGAAAACTCATTCACCCAGACAACAAACACGTCACTGTTTTAAGACAATATCAGTTACTGTTACGGTTCGAACAGGAGTTCAGTGAGAGAGAGAGAGAAAAAAGAGCAGAGACACTGAGGTCAGATTGGCACACTGGGTGCTACAATCAACCAACTTTATCAGTCACTGATGGAAAGTAGCCAGTGGCAAAATGGAAATTACAGTACGGGTTATGTCATGCTTGCTTGGCACTTGTTTTGTCATTGACTACCGGTGTGTCCCTGTGGAGAGCAAAGTACTGATCAATGAGAGGGAAAAAAAGAGGGGAGATTCAGGCACAGGGAACTGGCTCTTTGTAACCTCCTGGGTTTTTACAGTTACAGCGATGCTAACATCTGTCATTACAACCTCATCGAGACACTGCCCTCATTAGTGCAGTAATCTATGCTAGTGGATGTTACCAAAAACACTATTTCAGTAGGTAGATGCTGTGTAGTAAGAATAATGGAACTCTAATAGCTTAATGTACTCGTAACTTTACTGTGACACTGAGGGTTTTTTTTGTTTTTTCTTTTTATGTTTTTTTTTTTTCCATGATGTCTGTGCTAGTTAGTGTTTCTCAGTCAAAAGCCTCCAATGAGTTCATGTTTTGGCTCGAGCCCTTAAAAACAGACAAAAACGAAGGCTACCTATGAACAAAACTGCAAAGTGCTAAAACTTGAAGGCAAACTGATAAAATGGGCGCCAAACATCAAATCAAATAAAAAATAATCCAAACAATAAAGCAACAAAAACAGAAAAGTAACCGACATTTTTTTGGGTAGTCCTACAGTTAAATATGTTTTCAATGTAAGAACTTGCAAATCATTTACCACAGTACCAGAGCTTCAGTTCCACATGTGGACACTGGGAGGCACCATAAGCACAGCCCACATCGCTCTGGATGTAACTCCTAGAGCGCCTAACGCTACACTGACCCTGGCTCAGTTTTGTTGCTGACTATATCTCATTAAGATTATTATGTAAATGGAAATAATACATCTGAAAACATGAGAAATAATATGCGGTGCCAGCTCAGTCGTTATAATCATTAAAGCAACTTTGCCTGCTGAGTACAATTAAATCGGCTGTGCAGCACCAGCTGAAAGGAGTGCTACTGCATGTATACAAACACAGTGATAGAGTCACTTCAAATATCTGCTACATTTAAGGTGTCTTGCAAAAAAAAATCCTTCATAGCTCTTCTTTTTGTGCTATGAATTTGCTTACACTTCTTTCAAGTTTGTTGTTAGCTGTAGCTTCAATTTACTGTGTGTGAATCTAAATAACAGACAACCGAATTTAAAAAAAAAAACTTACTAAAAATTAAAAAAACAAAAAAAACCCCAAAAGGCAGGCAAACCAGCATTTGCAAGTTTGGCAAGAAGTCTTAAAAGACTTTGTTGTGTTTTCGCAGTCATTCATCACTTCCTCGCTTCTTTCACACAAAAAAATACTCCGTTAGAGGAAGACACATCTGTCTTTAGTTGTAGCAGACTTTAGGCTAGCTGGTAGAAAAGTGTGTATTTTTCTAACTTCTTTTCGTCTCTGTGGAACTTCAGCCACAATTTGTCTGAGTGAGAGACACAGATTTCCTGTCCTTACTGGAACAGCGACTGGGCCTGTCTGTCTCTCTCCAGTGCAAGTGACTGCTGTGTAAAACTGCAGACTTTCTCAGTCCTCCCCCACAGCCTCCCGCACTCCCGTACTCCCCACCTTGAGTCCTGCTCTTAAACCCCATCTGCAGAAAAACAGAGGTGGTGACGTTTGCTCGAAGCGGAAGGTGGGGTGTGACAGAATGCGAGGCACTAAAATCAAGAATAATTAAACAAAAGAAAGTCGAAAGAGTCAAAACTATTGACTGGTGCTATGTGCCAATTCGAAAGCGTGGAACCCCAGAGACGCCTTCGTCCGTTTCTCTTTCTTCAGCCATATCTTTCTCCGAGTCTAAAGAAAACGTCCTGCCCGAGTCACTTGTAAGCATTTTGGGAAGCCTTCGAGATGCAGGAGAGGCTGAATCGGATCTGTAGATTTCATGCCTCCTGCTGCTGCTGTGGCCCTCCTCTTCCTCAGGTGGACTCTCTGTGTCAGACTCCCCCTCTTCTTCTAAGGTCAGCTTAAACTGAAACTTGTCAGCAGAAGCAGACCCGCTACCCCGACCGTGTGCCGAAGCTTCCCCTGCAAAGGCATCTTCCTCCTCCTCCTCCTCCTCCTGGCCCTCTGGGTGAGGTGATGGGCTGTGGGGGATCATGCTCTGATACCACTCTCTGTTATCCTCCAGCGTGTCCAGGATGTCCTGCGCATCAGGGTGCACCAGGTCGCCCCATGTTTCCCACAGAGGATGAACGATGTAGTCAATGAAACCCACCTGAAAGAGAAGGCAATGTTTAAGACTGCGAATAACAAACTCAGCAGTAATGCTTTGACTTAATCAAAGAACTCCATCTTTCCGTGAGCGGTTTTGTATCCGAACTAGTTTTCTTCCTGACGTCTACATCCATCAACCACAGGAAGCATGAAGCTAGATACGGCTAATTTTTACAGGCTGTCTCCCTATCATTAACATGAGGCTCGTCATAAAATGTATTTTGAGGACCACTTCAGTGCCTTTTAGTTCCATTATATAAATCTAGACTGACGAAGATGAAAAATACATGAATTTGATTCTGAAGCTCGCGGTTTAGGTTATTCCCCACCTGGTTCTTTTCTACTGAAGCATTGTGCTTGTCGCACATGGGGCTGATCTCCATGCCTTTCTCTCTCTCTCTGTCTCCCTGTGTGAAGAACTCCACCATGATGCGGTCTGTCCACTGGCGGTACAGCTCGAGAGGTTTGGTCGGGTTACTCAGGTCCGCACAGTGTACCATGTTCTGAAGAACCTGCAGTGGCAAATTAAACAGGTGTTGTCACATGTCAAATATATAGTTTAGATTCGATTGATTCTATCTTTGTATAAAAAGAGTTCTCACCTGTATGCGATCTGAATAGTTGTCTAAAAGCAGGACTCCCAGGCTGGTGACTTTCTTAGTCTCCACCATGGTCTTCAGGTCTGCTAACAGGTTCATGTGTTTGGACATATCTGTGGCGAGCACCTGCAAGAACAACATTAAACACATTAAACCAAACAGAAGTCACTGAGGAAAAAGAAGGCTTAAGCTGAGATAGAGCCACTGCACGTCTACGATCTTAATGGTCCACTCACCATGTCGATGACCATTTTGCGAAGCGACTGACGCTGCTTTTTGTTGAGATTCTGAAAAATATCACAGTTGTCTTCCTGCAGAAGCTTAAAGCCTACAGCCAGGTGGTGATTCTCTAGCACTGACAAGTCATTGTACATCAGGGCCAGCTCTGAGTCTGAAGACAAAAAGGCATAAAAAAACTTCAGCACTCTGAATCTAAAATAAATCACGATCTCGTCAGCTACATAGTTAAATACACTCAGCACCCACACACGTTCAGATAATCCCCGCAGAGCTACGAGCAAACTCACTGGTGTTGATGAGAAACTGATTGGAAACTCCGGGGTGATCCACGTCGTGGATGGCGCTGGCGAACAGCGCAGCGAGGATCTCCAGATCAGTAAACACAGCCTTGGATGACACACAAAGAGAGACAGTTAGTTTTGTGTGTATGCGTGCATGCATGTGAGGGCATCAACCTGGACTGTGTATTTGAGCGATTACCTCCAGTGCAGGTGTGGACAGCAGCACGTGTGTTGATTGGACCACGTCTGCAGCGTGGATGTTGTTGTGGTAGGCCACATCAGCATGATAGTGGTCCTCCAAAGTCATCACGAAGGTAATGAAAGTATCCACTGGAATCTTAAAGGACTTCAGCAGCTCACGCTCCTGCAACAGCAGAGGAGAGTATGGTTCATCCAAGGTAAAGATAAATGACTGATTACAAATTGTTTGCTAAATCATTGCTTCATTGACTTCAGTAAATTCATTATGCACTTGTTTGCTGTGCCGTGTTTGAGGCTATAAAGTACAGGAGCCATACAGTACGCTGTGTGCTGTGATGTGGTACCTGGAAAATGGTGTACATGGTGACTGTCAGTGGGCGATTCCCAGAATACTCAGAGACCTTAAAGATGTCAATACCCCATCGATTTATATCCTCAAGTTCCTGTCAGTGAGAAAGTATAAATACGTATATTAAACAACATTCAGTATGCGGGAGGAAATAGAGAATTAGCCTCAGGGAAATAACAAATGAACTAGTCCCCACACCTTAGCTAGGAGTCCTTCCTGGCTAGCATTGACCCCAAATCGAGGAATGGTTGAAGGAGCGAGGCTGGGACTGTGGGTGGCCTTCTTCACACCGCTGATCTGGGACATAGGACGCTTTTTCTTGTCTTTCTCCTTGGTCGGGGGAGACATGATGTCCATGTCATGTTGTTTCTCTGCCAGTGAAAGTCATCCAGTTAACAGCGATGAAAACAGAAATGCACCACTAACACTAACTTTCCTGCTGTCATGCATTTCAACTACTCCTGTCTGAGCACTGTCCTGTGATTTACATGCATATCTACATGTATGTGCAGCAGTGTGTAGCGTACAAAGACGGCATATTTACCCAGAAAGGTGCTGGAGATGAATTCAGACACCTGGTTCCCTGAGCGGCTGGTTTCTGACAGCTGGCTGAGCTCTCGGTTCAGCATCCTCTTGAACTGAGGACAAACACATGCAAGCATCAATGAGCTTGATCAAACACTCTGTTTGCTAAACTGTGGACAGACTAGGTCGGATCAACTCAGCCGCCTGCTGGAACAACAGTTATCTCTTAACAACAACGTAGAAAAGAAACACTTTAAAAGCAAATCACTCTCCCTGCAAACGGTTCAGTCAAATACAAGGTAGCAGATGCCACAGATCATACTGATATAAGACGTATTGAGTCTCAGAGAAAGTCAGAAAACAAGCAACACGTAAACCTCAGGGAGTCTCCTACCCTCCCACCCAGTTCATCCCTCTCCTCCCCTCTCCTCACCTGAATGAACATCAACGAGATGGAGATGAAATAAGTCACTTCTGGCATTTCAGCGTAAAGTCAAGCATGGGAGCAAAAATAAAACGAGTGAGCTCTCAGGTTTAACACGCCTGTTCGACAGAGCTGCCTGTCTCGGAAAAATCCACCAGCGAGTGCTGCAGAAGCTTTGATTATAAGTCTGTGGAAGAACAGGAGAATCGAAGCATATGTATGTGGGAATGCTGCTGGATGCCAGGATGCAAGGCAGAGAAGGCAGACTCTCCCCGACTCTCCCTCATTCACTCAGTTACTGCCTGCTCACTATGTGTGTAAACAGAGGGAGAATGGGGTACTCTAATCTCCACCTCCTTTCAAAAATGCCTAAGAATAGCAGCCAATCAGACGCCCGCTGCAGCAGCGTGTGGCGAAAAAGAGAGCCGTCATTGGCCACGAGACATACACAGTAGGCAGGGCAGAGTGAGGTTGTGAGACACACCATGTGCACCAAGTTTGAAGGTATGAAGGAAAAGCTTTGAATGGATGGGGAGGAGGGTTCATTCTTGTAGCCAAAAATAAAAATCATACATCACACACCACAGAGACTTGGGTGCCCTGACCATTAACACAATCAGAGGAACAAAAGACAAAATGCTTTGACAAAGAAATGCTTAAAGCGGGCTCCAAAAGTTCACTCACAGCTAAATCGTGCTCAGAAGAAGACAGAAAATATTAAAGGATAAGTACAGTGGCCTTAATGTTAAGCTGATTTATTCACTTTTATACAAAATTCAAACTTGGTAGTAATTACCATCAGAGGAGGAAAAAAATGCCAATGCGGCATGTAAAAAGCTCTTTCTTAAGTACCCTACTCACATATAAATAACTCAGTGATTAAAAGAGGTTGCACGATTCCTCGAAGACCCTTTATAGGGTCAGTAAAGATCCAGTTTAACAAAGCGGTTCGATAAGGTCGTCAGGGATGCAGAAACATTGTTCACTTCAGCCTCCCATGCACCTGTCTTTGTTCCCAAGGGCCGGCATGGATAATTCTTCCCCAGTGACTGAAGCAGCTCATTGACTGATCTGCAGCAATTGTGGGGGCTGGGGAGAGGAGTGGG